CCTGCCTTCCGCTTGGGGCCCAAGGCCTTGGACGGGAGCGAGAGAGGCTGCCATGGGCAGAGAGACTCTGGCTCATCTCTATGCGGGGGCCAGTGAGAGGAGGGACGAAGACGGGGGCCTTTGGAGAGGGTGGCTCAGCAGTGGACTCCATGTCCCAGCAGCACTGGCCGCACAGCAGGGCCTGGAGGGGCTCGGCGTGCAGAACCCTGCTGTTCCCGCCTGTCCCCCCCTCCTGTCCACCTGCCTCGCCCCCTCCATTCACGCCCGTCCTAGCAGCGCTTCTTCCTGAGCAGCACTGCTGTTCTCTGTGGCACCATCACCAGTGGCCTGGGCCTCCGACTTGTCTCCAGGGCCAGGCCACAGCCTCCACAGCTCCCCGGGTGGGGTGGGGTGCGGCAGGAACGGCCAGGCTGGGCTTCACACTGCCCTGCCTCCCACCCCACCCGGAGGCCCTACCACCAGAGACCACCCCAGTGTCAAATGACACACAGAAACGGAGAGTTCTCGAAAGGCTGCAGGAGCTGTGTCCCCACCACCACACTGCCTCCCTGCCTCTAGAGCGCGGCCACGAGCTGTCTCCAGGTGCTCGGGAATCTCAGGTGGCACTGAGAGGCGGTGGCAGCCATCGTGCTGGTGGGGGCCCTGCAGGGGCAGCCCGGCCCCTGGTCACTGCAGGACCACATCCCGAAAGCCTGTGGGACCACGTCCTGCCTGGAGGCCATGGGAGCAGCCAGGCAGGGTCCTGAGGCCTCTGGAACAAGTGAGGTGTCAGCAAGGCTTTCCAGGGCCGTCACTCAGGTGCATGATGTGGGGTCCCCATGAGAAAAGACTGGCCAAGGTGACATTGGACGTGGGATGCCCTGGACTAATGGGGAGATGTGGGGGCTGTCGCTCACCAGGTGGGTGTGAGCCAAGGGGCACATGGGTTGTGGGAGAAGCCCCTTCCCACCTTCTCAGCTTGAGGGGCAAATAGGCACAGTCCCCACACGGGGCCATCGGTGGGGCTGCCTGTAGGGCCTCATGCACCGGCTTCTGTTCAGCTTTTAACCCAATGCAGAGGGGATGGCGGGGTACAGGCGACTGTGGGCCACAGATATGGGAGGCAGCTGTCCCAGCTGGGTGCTGGACGCTCAGGTGCTCTGCAGGGACAGCTGTGGTTTCACACCCAGACTGGACACGGTTGAGAGGCAGAGGCTCTGGGGTTTGGGCCTGAGCTCTTGGAATGACAGAGACAGTCCTAAGGAAGGGGGCGCCAGCAAGCTTCTGGGAGCCCAGCAGCTGCAGCCCCCACAGCCTCCTCCCCCGACGGAGAGCGGCCTCCGTCCCATCCCAGAAGATCCTGGGGGAGGCCCCCACAGCCTCCTCCCCCGACGGAGAGCAGCATTTGTCCTATCCCAGAAAACCCCCCCGGGGGTGGACCCCAGGCCTGGCTTTGCCCAGGGGATGTGGTCATCAATCAGGGTGGGAAGGAAGCAGAGAGGCTTGCCAGGGGTGAGGTCTTGGGTGAGCGGTTCTCCAGAGCCTCCTGCCTGGGGACAAGGAGAGGAGAGGCCCCAGGTGTGGTCCCAGGAGCTGGAGGTGGCCCCTGGCTGCAGGGGCTGGGGCAGTGGAGCTCTGTGTGCTGAGGTGGAATCACTTTCTCTCTCCGAGGCTGGTTTTCTGTAGTGCAGTTAGAAACGTTAGTGCTGCTGCATAGTCATGATACTGAGAGCCAAAAGCAGGCACATAAAAATGATTCAGGAAAATCTGTCTAACCAGCCGTGTCACGACAACCTCCTCCCAGCCCTGGTGGTCCTCCCGGGAGGGGAGCAGGGAGGTCTGGGGGCCTGGCCCCTCCTGGGGGTGCTGGCGCCGCTTCGGGGTACAGGCACCTTCAGGGAGGGCCCCTGAGTGTACAGGCTTGGTGCCACGTGTGCTGACCCAGGCGTGCACCGAAGACCCGTCGGGGGGTTCAAGGCCTCCACTGCCTCAGCCCAGTGGGCTTCCTGCAGTTGGGGCGTCTGCCTGAGGAGGCCCTGGCTGGCACCCAAGGGCTGAGCTGGGTGGTGGGTGGTGCTGGGGACACAGCTCCTGCAGCCTTTCGAGAACTCTCCGTTTCTGTGTGTCATTTGACACTGGGGTGGTCTCTGCGACCAACTTGTGGGGTCCTGTGTGTGTGGATCAGATAAGCAGGGCCCAGGCTGGGTGCGGTGGCTCACACCTGTAATCCCAGCACTTGGGAGGTCGAGGTGGGTGGATCCTCTGAGGTCAGGAGTTCGAGACCAGCCTGGCCAACATGGTGAAACCATGTCTCTACTAAAAATACAAAAAATTAGCTGGGTGTGGTGGTATGTGCCTGTAATCACAGTTACTCGGGAGACTGAGGCAGGAGAATTGCTTGAACCTGGGAGGCGGAGGTTGCGGGGAGCCAAGATCATGCCACTCCAGCCTGGGAACCACCGTAGGACTCTATCTCAAAAAAAAAAAAAAAAAAAAAAAAAAAGATAAGTGGGGCCTGACCCACCTCTTAGCAAAGTGCCTGGCACTGAGGCTGCTGGTGTGGCCCCTCAGATCTGCCCTCCACCCATCCCCTCTGACTCTCTCCCCCCACCAGAAAGACAAGTTACAGCTCCGCTGTCTCCACGTGGCACACCGCCCTTGCACGTCTCGTAGTTGCTGTGAGAGGTCGCTCCTTGATTTGTTCCTACTTTTGATCGAGTGCTGCAAACAGCCGTTTTGTCAGCTGCAGCCTTGGATTCGTCTAGGCTCAGAGCCCAGCAGGACTGGGAACTGTTTGGGTGCACAGCGCCTGGGGCGGGAGACCCTGAGAGACCCCGGGTGGATGAGCAGGAGCTCTGGGGGCCTTGGGCTCTTGGGCTTGTGCCGGAGCAGGCTGCTTGCAGCAGGACCCCGAGCCTTGAGTGGCGGCTCTGCGCAGAGCACATTGGGGGAGCTGGCCCTTGGGAAGGCAGGGAGGACTTGGCTCAGCCCAGGGGGCTGTCTGGAGCTGGAAACGGCAAAGAGCTGGAGCACCAGGACCGCGTGTTGTGGGCAGGGCCGGGGAACGCTGCTGGGCCTCTCGGCCTCTAGCTCTGACTGGTGGGGATGGCACTTGGGTCATGGAGAGGGCACCCAGCAGGGGAGGGTGTGGCTGGGGAGGGGGTGGCCGGCAGCACCATGGCCCTTGTCACTGTTGTCTGTCCTTACTGGAGGGTCAGCCAAGGTCCTCCTCCCCAAGGACACCCGTGGCCTTACGCAGTGGACGCTTGTGTCTCTACGTTGGGGCGGATCCTCCTCCCCAGGGACGCCTGTGTCTCTACGTGGGGGCGGGTCCTCCTCCCCAGGGACGCCTGTGTCTCTACGTTGGGGCGGGTCCTCCTCCCCGGGGACGCCTGTGTCTCTACGTTGGGGCGGGTCCTCCTCCCCGGGGACGCCTGTGTCTGTATGTGGGGGCGGGTCCTCCTCCCCAGGGACGCCTGTGTCTCTACGTTGGGGCGGGTCATCCTCTCCAGGGACGCCTGTGTCTGTATGTGGGGGTGGGTCCTCCTCCCCAGGGACGCCTGTGTCTCTACGTTGGGGTGGGTCCTCCTCCCCAGGGACGCCTGTGTCTGTATGTGGGGGCGGGTCCTCCTCCCCAGGGACACCTGTGTCTGTATGTGGGGGGCGGATCCTCCTCCCCAGGGACACCTGTGTCTCTACGTTGGGGTGGGTCATCCTC